TAGCGGAGAAAAATACCCCGCACCCGTCATCTCTCCCTCTCCGAGGGAACGATTTTTAACTGACCTAGGCATCCGTGTCCACCCAAACTAAACTGGACTGTAAGCCGTCTTAGTTAACAGATTCTGTCGTCGCGGAATAGTTTTTGAACGAGAAGCGTCGCGGGGAGGCTAATTAGGACTTAACTGAAATCGGATGTCTTTGGGCGAAAGGCCTGATATCGCAGCCTAGCTGTAAACCACAACACAACGTCGCAACTACCCTTTTAAGGGAAAAGAACAATTATCACCCAGCGGGGAATCGAACACCGGTCACCTGCGTGAAGGATGACATACTTACAACTATACTACCGACGACTGAAGAGTTTAGATCAGATATCGCAGCCTAGCTGTAAACCACAACACAACGTGCCAACAGCCCTCTCGAGGGCAAACAAAGATTACCCGTGACATGACCATTGAGCATCACGTCGCCGCTGTCGCAGGTTTGCTGTAAACCCCAAAAACGAAAAAGTGTGGATATCGCAGCCAATTTGAAAGCAATCGGTTCAGTAGTTTCTGAGTTTTTAGATAACAACATCGGAAAATTAAGATTTTTATTATTATAGATGGGAGCCATTGTAGCGTAGCGGGTTGGCGCTCACTATCCTGCCCAGAGGTCTTGGGTTCAGTTTCACATCGAGACCGATATGTTTGTTTCTTAAAATTGACTTTGGCTCACAGGTTGACCCGGCCTAAAATGGATACAAGGAAATTAGCTTGACAGTAAAGGCGACAAGCGTGATCTTGACCGATCACTCGATAAGTGCTGGCTGGTCTATTAACATGTGATTCTAACACAATATACCCCACTGGGCACTGACGTTAAAAAGTATAATTTGTTTACACATAATATATGTTTCATATCTTTTCGAGTTTCAGTATTTTGTTGCATTAATTTTCTTTTCTTTTTTTTCAAATCGAGACTTATTTTAACTTCTTCTATCCCCCACGTAGTACTAGTAATATTCACAAACATATCCTGTTCAGTCCTTAGGGTTTTACATGAAATATAAAATGTTCCTGAGTTTTTAGAGTACATTTTTGCTATTTTATATTTCGTATAGAAAACTAAATATCTACTGGACAGATTTAAGATCCAGTTCGCAAATAAGACAAGAAACCAAGCAAGATAATGTGTCCAGTCTTATAAGAAAGCGCCGCTGGAACTACAAGCCCTCATATGGACACCGGAAGGGAGAAGAAAACGAGGAAGACCAAGAGAGACTCGGTGTATGACCATCACCAGGGAAGGCTCATCAACAATAGCATTAATAAACATCCAAGACCTAAAACAGGTAACAACGAACTGCCAGACATGGAGAGCTATTACCTCTGCACTATGCGACACTTTAGGCTCAAGAGGAAAGACTAACTAACTATTATATCCCTTAACCATTCCTTTTAGCCATTTATTAATTATTTATCATCATCATCTTGTAGCAGGTCCTTTGCAGAACGTCGCTCTCATCACAGTCTGCTTGTAAGAAACTCGGTCTCTTACCAGTTCTCCCGCCTCATGAACTTTCACACTCAAGGAGTCACTTATATCCTGTGCCCATCTTCGTGTCGGTTGGCCTCTGCCCCTCCTTCCTGGTACCATGCCTTCTGCTATAATTTTTTCCAATCCGTCGTGGCGCTTGATATGACCAAAATATTTCAGCTTTCGAGAAAGAGTGCTGTTTATTAGCCAATCTTTCTTGTTCAGATCTTTTAAGATGTCAATATTTCTCATCTTCTTTGTCTAAGATATTCTGAGAAGCTTTCTATAGCATTTCATCTCAAAAGCCCCTATTCTCCTTCTTAAGGACTGAGAGATAGTCCACGACTCACATCAGTATGTTGCCACAGGGAAGATGCATGCTCTCAAAATTCTAATTTTTATCTCCTTGCTGGTGCTTAACCATAGACTTTTAAGGCTGTTCAATCTTCGCATTGCTATGACCATCCTCCTTTTAATTTCTGTCTAACAGTCTCCACTGTTGTTTATTATAAAGCCTAGGTATTCAAAGTTTGTGACATTTTCAATTTCTTCATCATTTATTGTTATTTTTGGGTGACAGCCAGTTTTATCTGTGGACATTATTTTCGTTTTCTTTAAATTCAATAACAGATTTTGATCTTAACTGTGCTTTTGGACGGACAATATTAAATTTGCTATTCCCTTTACGCTGTTCGAAAGAAGGACTGTGTCATCTGCGTAGCGGAGTTCCATAATAGGGTTGCCACCAATTTTGAGCGGATCATAACTGTCACAAGTCTGGTCATTTTTGAAATTTCTCATTATATGTTCTGCGTATATATTGAATAGGTATGGTGAGAGAATGCACCCCTGCCTCACCCCCTTTTGCACCTCGAACCAGTCAGATGTTTCACCAGCTGCTCTGATGGCTGCTTGTTGTTCATGATAGAGATTTTAAATTAATTGCACTAAATGCGCTGGAAACCCCATACTTTTCATAATAGTCCACAGTTGGTGGTATTTATCTACATTTGAAATATATCTTGTTCGTATCTTTCGGATTGGGATCACTATTGATACTGTACAAGGAATTTATAGATAATCCTATCAACAACTAGGCTATACCGTAAAATAATTGATTTAGTGTGTGCTTTAGTCAGCCGTCGGTCATTAAAATTAATTTAGCTTTGAAGTAATTTGCCAAGCAGATCTTTGAAGCTATCAACTTGTAACACGTTTTCATCGTCATAAGTAGTTTCAGAAGTAATTCACATAATTAGTTATCACTTTTCTTTTGGGTTCACGTTTTTTTACACTCAAGCAAGACGTTGCCTATATTATTGTACTTCTATGATTTTGTACTTCTGTCTGTTATTGCAGTTCACAGGACATAATCATAGATACGACACCGAAGAATCCTTAAAATGTCTTAGACAGCCGGAAAAAGTAACTCACATTTTTTTTAAAGAGGCAAGCGCTTCAAGACGACATCATTCGCAAACATCAGAAGGGGGCAATAAACAATTTTTAACCACGTTTAAGAAGAAGAAAACTTGAACAAGTTGTGGTCACTGGAAATATTTATGGAAAAAGAGACAGAGAAAGCCAGCGTGAGAAGATTCTTGACAGCCTTATGTGATGGCCTGGAGCGGTATCAGTACAAGAACCGTGTTGAATATATGTTGTTGGAGATCGTAGGTTGTGAAGAAGGAATAATCGCTCAAGTCAGTCAGTCAGGCAGGCGCTTGATGATGATGATGAAGACACAATCATAGATACTCTTAGGTACACACAGACTTTCTTAGAGACAGTGCGGAAGCACCACCTGACTGGCATGGAACGAGTTAGAATCAAGAGTAATAAATGGAAACTAATTGGAACCCACAGGGGCATAGGAATAAAGGAAGGCCAAAAAACACATGGAAAAGACAGCTGGAGAATGAAGTTAGAAAGATGGGGAGGATATGGGGAGAGCTCCATGCAATGGCGAAGGATAGAACGACTTGGCGTGAGTTGGTTGAGGGCCTATGCTCCATTGGGGGATAGAAAGGCAGAAGAAATTAGTATAGAAAGTTCCATTTAAACCCCGTATACAGAGTACACAAACATTACGCTGTTCATACTTAACCTACTAGATATCCTTAAAATGCACATTATTATATGAACATAACATGCTTTATTGATAAAATACAACTTCTCTGTGAAAGATGGGTGTTTGGATTGGCAGAATGCGTGCCAGTTTGTGACCCTTTGAAAATAAAGTCTGTTCGTTCCTTCCTCAACATTGCAAGATGCACGAGAAAACTAATAAGATTATGTGTGAAGAGAGAGTTACAGTAGCTACTATCTCTGAATAAAAACAGTTATAGTTAAACAATGAATTATTTCCATTAAGTTTCCTTAATAGTAGACAACAACAACAACAACAACAACTACTACTACAATTATTACTACTACAATTATTACTACTACCACCACCACCACCACCACAATTACTACTACTACTACTAATACTACGACTATTACTACTGCGACTATTACTACTACTACTACTACTACTACTACTACTACTTATACTATTACTGCTGCTGCTACTACTACTAATTTAAACACCAGTATCTTGTTCAGCCGTTCCGGATTATAATTCTAACTAGTAAACAAATAAGAAAAAAGTGAGATCATTAAAAAAAACCAAGCCTGTCGGTTTGGGAAGGTGACATTCCGAAACATTTTAAAATAGCCCTATTACATTTCAGTTATGTCTTATTTTAAGTTGTTTATCTAAAATAAAATCCAGGTATGCGACCTGGTAACAATATCCAAACTTTGTTATGAACTAAAAAACCCATGTGTTAGTTCCGAGGCCCCATTCTTTGGGGTGGGTGGGGGACGGGGAGGGGTTGAGGTTATGTCCACTGGTCGGTGACAAGAACTGTCGTAAAAGGCAACAAAATAGGAGTTTACTGAAATCGGATTTTTTGGACCGCAAGAAAGAAGTATCGTAGACTATATGTGAAACACGGTATAACGTACATGTTGCCCTTTTGAGTGCTAATAAAGAAGAACCTAAATTAACAGGGTGGGAACCCTTGGGTCCATAGAAACATGTATAGAATAAACGAACAGACAATGTATTGATTAGCACTTATAGAAAGCAGTGGAAAGATAGAGGGACACACTAGCAACATGAAATCGAAAGACATTGATACCTTTCCGGAAACTGTCTACTTCTTTATATGAGTGCCAATCAATACATTGTCTGTTTATTTATTACATATAAAGAAGTAGAGAAAAAGAAGTTTAGAAACCTTCTAACGGAAACTACTTTTATCAAATTATAGGTTACCCTTGGGTGTAATGCGGTGTGCACCTGCTGGGGGATTCATGCGCCACTATTGAATGTAGTTCGTGAGAAAAGTTTGCAAGCAGGGGACGGAGTGTCGGGCTCGATTTCTTGTACAACTTTCTGTTTGGGCCGGTCCCACAGTCTTTGTTCGCCGTTATGGCAGTCTATGGTGGAAGGATTCATAAAAATGTGAAAGTGTTTACCGAAGGGGATACAATTTGTAGCGTTACACGTTTTAGTAGCGCTGGGAATAATGTTGAAACGAGTGAAGGTACTAGTACTAATACTAGCCACACAGGCAACCTTCGACAGTGGCACGGCGATTTTCGAGATGGGAATAACGGAACGGTGAGTTCGAGCGTTTCGGATAGTTTCTTGGCGAATTCAAGAGATCGAGAAGGTGGTGGAAATATACATTATCACAATAATTTCGGCGCAGGGAATTCGAGTGCTTTACAAGATGTGTATTCTTCTGGTGTTAATCAACCGTGGAGACAGGTAGGGGATGAAAACAGTGGGATACGAAACATCGATCAGCGGCCCGGTTTTGTGAGCAGTATCGTCGGTATGAGGGATGCACTCAAACCCCCACCGATTCCTCCGTCTATTCTGGGAGGAAATGTGGACTCATTTGCTTCGAGTTATCCTGCTTCAAAGCCTCATTGGTACCCTGGACATACGTCGTCTTCAATTGATGTTTCCTCACCAGCGACTAGTGATAGCAGATATTATACATTGGTTAATGGGAATGGCGCCGACTATTATACTCCAAAGACAAATAACGCTGGAATTCGAAATATTAATCATTTGCCACCACACCACCTCACGAATGCCCAGTATCATACAGGATATCATAGTGTGACAGCGGCTAGTGACACCTCCAGTTACTCTAGTCCTCGTTCTAGCATTGGCAGTGAAGGGGACTCTAAGAATTCAAGTCCTCGTACTAGCTTAACAAATACCCCATACTATGAGCAGAAATTTGGCGGTCCTAGATCAGTTTTCCCACTTGCTAATACTAGACCAGCTGTGTCTTTCGATGCCATACAGCCTGGTTCAAACAGTGGCAATCAGTTGCCAAGACCTCCAGAACGAATAGTAGCTGCAAGACATTTAGAACATGACAACAGTATTTTATACCCGCAGGCATCACAGGCTGTAAGTTTAAACCCACGTAGTATGTCTGTACTCGCTGACAGTCGATTTATTGAAACTGTGCCACAGCATATATACACAGACCCTCGTCAGAGATCTCTTCCACCACAGTCTTCAGTGAGTGTTCATGCTACAGCTTACTCAGGTGGTTTTGATAACCATAGGCTGAATCATGTAACAAATGGTGGGTCTCAGATGCTCGTATCTTCTCCAAACACAGCTCTGTCAGCGGGACATGCTAGCTTCGCTACTGCAAGCACTGTAGGTGGTCCTCCATCAATTCCAGCTCGGATTCCATTAAATACAGCTCGAAAAGTGGGAGAATCTAATTCGGATGCCGAAAGGGTGGTGGCAGCTTTGACCCAACAATTAGAAAAAGACATGACCATCTCCAGCTTGCCCTTCAGGAAGAACATGGATTCTCCAGCAATATTGGAGAGCGTTGGAGCTGCTGAGCCACCTCCTCCATATCATGGCCCTCATGATGTGCAGACTTCAGTGAAATATACCAACAACCAAAATAATCCACCCCCAAAAATGAATGTCAGACTAGTGGCTCCAGTGCAGGGAATCAGAGTACAGACAGGCTCAGAGGCTTCCTCGCTTTTCTCTGGAGTTTCGCCAGATATCAAACATCAGTTGGCTTTTCAGATGACCCCACCGAAGCACAATGGTCCATCTGATGCAGAGCAAAAGCTAGCAGCTCTGACACAGCAGCTTGAAGATGAAATGGATCATGTTATTGCAGCAGATTATTTTGGTGAGCAATGTTTTTATGTTTTTGTCTAATTTCTGTTTTTACTTTACATTTATTGTTGGCATAAATGAAAATATCTTTAATGTACTGTTCAGTAAGTATTTCCTCCTTACTTTATATTTTTTCAGAGCCGGGCTTTTTTTCAAAAATGTCCTTGGTTCCTAGGTCGACCCAGCCTTGAGTGGGTACCGGATGCAGTCCCGGATGACCACATCACCTATCCTGTCCTTTTGGTCTATAAAATATAGGTCTAGACTTATATGCCCTATGCGCCTAAAGATGTGGAAAGGAGTCCTTTATTTTTTTTTTAAATAAATATATTTGTTCCAATGTAATGTCACCTTCAAAGTAGAGCAAGCACAGCAATTTTTATTCTGATGATCCAAAGTGGCACATTTTCAGAAATAATCTCTACTTTTGGGATCTCTTTTTTCTTTTATGTGGCGGTGGACGGCTGCAAGCTGCCCTTGCTAACTTTAGGGATATTTCATGGGACAACCCCTACCCCATTCACTTCCAGGGTGTGACACTTGCTTTAACAGATCTGGTAAGGCACTGACCTCACATCACATGGATGATTTATCTGCCTTCTCCCTCTAATCAGTTTCCTAGATTATAATGGTACACAGAACACAAGACTGAACCGACAGGTGAAAATGCCATGCAATGTTTATATTACCTGATTGTCATTGCGTTCATATTACCTCATTGCCATTGCATAAGACTTGAGAGTTGGGGCTCAACCTTCCTGAGGATTCACAACCGACCTACCAGTCTTCACAAGTGCTTTTACATTCAACAGGGCCCTTGGCCTGTCATGTTGTGGTTTACAGCTAGGCTGCAATATCGCCCCTTGTTGCCCAGGGCATTTAATTTCAGCACATCTTTAATTAATCACCTTTTTAGCAAGCTTGATAGGGACCAGTTATTTTTTTTTAAATATTTATTTTTCACAAAAAATATCTCTGGAACCCACAAGGAAAGAAACAAATATAACAAACCTTTTATTCGTTTCTGTATAATTTGCAGATTATACACCAGAGAATTTATGTAAGTGATGTTAGGTGAAAAAAAGTAAAGGACCCTTTTCCAATTACTGGGCATATAATGCTAAACCTATATTTTATATAGACCAATCAGCGCATGATGTGGTTAACATCATGCCGACCGCCTTTACTTCACAGGACTATACCTGATACCCACTCAAGGCTGGGTCGACATGGGAGCCAAGCCATTTTTGAAAATGTCCAGCTCTTTTTCAGTTTTTGTTCTAGCATCTTCCATGTTACACCATTATTAAACATTAAAATAAAAACTGATAACAATGCATCAAAGAAAGATCTTTCCCAGGATGCTTGATTTTTACTAGCACTGTAAAACTATTTTTTTGTTTGTTGGTCAGCCAGCCAAACTGTATTTTTACTTGGGACTCTTCAAGTGTTTATAATACTTATCTTTCGTAATTTCATTCTTCTTCTCCATAGTTGCTTTTATACGGTAGTTGTTGTATGTGCTATGGAAGCACATGCTATTGTTAGTGCTGTTGTAGTAATGGTTGCTGCTGAAGTCATGATGCTCTTTTTTGGCTGCTGTAGTCTTATTTTGCTGTTGTAGTCATTGTTGCTGTTATTTGGCTGTTGTAGTCATTGTTGCACTTGTTTCGCTGCAGTAGTCATTGTTGCTGTTATTTGGCTGTTGTGGTTACTGTTGCTAACATTTGGCTGCTATAGTCACTGTTGCTCTTGTTTGGCTGTTGTGGTTACTGTTGCTAATATTTGGCTGCTATAGTCACTGTTGCTGATATTTGGCTGCTGTAGTCATTGTTGCTCGTTTGACTGCTGTAGTCATTGTTGCTCTTGTTTGGCTGCTGTAGTCACTGTTGCTAATATTTGGCTGCTGTAGTCACTGTTGCTGATATTTGGCTGCTGTAGTCATTGTTGCACTTGTTTGACTGCTGTAGTCATTGTTGTTGATTTTTGGCTGCTGTAGTCACTGGTGCTCTTGTTTGGCTGCTGTAGTGATTGTTGTACTTGTTTGACTGCTGTAGTCATTGTTGCTGATGTTTGACTGCTGTAGTCACTGTTGCTCTTGTTTGACTGCTGTAGTCACTGTTGCTGTAGTCACTATTTGTGATGTCATTGTTGCTGTTGTGTGGCTGCTGTAATCATTGTTGCTGTTGTTTGGCATCTATAGTCATTGTTGCTCTTGTTTGGCTGCTGTAGTCATTGTTGCTCTTGTTTGACTGCTGTAGTCATTGTTGCTCTTGTTTGGCTGCTGTAGTCACTGTTGCTGATATTTGGCTGCTTTAGTCATTGTTGCTAATGTTTGACTGCTGTAGTCATTGTTGCTAATGTTTGACTGCTGTAGTCATTGTTGCTAATGTTTGACTGCTATAGTCACTGTTGCTCTTGTTTGACTGCTGTAGTCACTATTTGTGATGTCATTGTTGCTGTTGTGTGGCATCTATAGTCACTGTTGCTCTTGTTTGGCTGATGTAGTCATTGTTGCTCTTGTTTGACTGCTGTAGTCATTGTTGCTCTTGTTTGGCTGCTGTAGTCACTTTTGCTGATATTTGGCTGCTGTAGTCACTGTTGCTGATATTTGGCTGCTGTAGTCATTGTTGCACTTGTTTGGCTGCTGTAGTCACTGGTGCTCTTGTTTGGCTACTGTAGTCATTGTTGCTGATGTTTGACTGCTGTAGTCATTGTTGCTGATGTTTGACTGCTGTAGTCATTGTTGCTGATATTTGACTGCTGTAGTCATTGTTGCTGATGTTTGACTGCTGTAGTCATTGTTGCTGATGTTTGACTGCTGTAGTCATTGCTGCTAATGTTTGACTGCTGTAGTCACTGTTGCTCTTGTTTGGCTGCTGTAGTCATTGTTGTTGTTTTTCTGCTGTGGTCTTTGTTGCTGTTGTGTGGCTATTGTTTGGCTGCTGTAGTCATTGTTGCTGTTGTGTGGCTGCTGTAGTCACTGTTGTTGTTTTTTTTAACTGCTGTAGTAATTGTTGCTTTTGTCTGCTGTTGTGGTTAGGCCTGTTGTTTGGGTGTTGTTTTCTTTGGTTGTAAGTGTTGCTGTGGTGGTAGTTTTAAACGCAGTAGTTTTAACTGATACCACTGTGGTGTAACACTGATGTTTTAAAGGATCCTTTTAGCAAATACGTGTATGAACACTGATGGTGATATATATATGTGTTTTTACCTCCAAATAATCGCTTACCAGATATTGTTGTAATGAATTGTTGTGAACTCACACTCATGCTATTTGTCATTTTAAACATTAGACTCCTTACTTTTGCTTACTTACTGGAATTTCATAGTCACTGTTATTGGCCATTTGTTATTGTATTTTACACAGCAGAGGTCAACACATATAAATGAGGGTTGCGTAAAAATAATTGGTGGTTGCTGATACTTTTGCAAAGTTTATTTGTAAATGATTATTTATTATTTCAGTGCCTATGGCCCAGTGGGCTTTATCTCAGGCTTAGGTGGTGTTGAAATGATATAGTTTGAGAAGCCCTAACTAGGTAGTGGTGAGTGAATCACCCTACTGATCTTTGTCAGCATCTCTGGCCGGTTCTAGCTCTTAATCAGTCGTGGAAGTAGGCCTCTCGCCTATGACGCCACGAAAAGCCTAGCCCCCGCCAGTGAGCTGCAGCCGGCCGTGGTCACTATGTCAGATAGCCTTCTGACATATGCTGCAGCAGGGTGTTCGTGTCTTCTTCTTCTTCTTGTTCTGCCTTTCTAGCCCCCAGTGGAGCATAGGCCCTCAACCAACTCACGCCAAGCCGTGCTATCCGTGCAGCTCTCTCCATATGTAACTGATAAATCAAGAGTGATTGACGTCACACCAGTATCCAGAAATTAATCCACTAAATTGTGAATAAGAAAATTAAAAAAGGTGGAATATGAAAAAATAAAACAGGAGAACAAAAGGACTTTGGACAGCAGTCCTAATTGAAACAAATACAACAGGGGGACAGTACCTTGGTCAGCTCGGATGAAGAACTATAAAATAGTTAGGGATACAAAATTATTAAAATAAATAAAGGAACAAAGATAGTAACATTAATAATAAACAAAATATATAGGAATAATAATGATCGTATTTGTAGTTTAAATAATGGTAACAGTGACGCCAGTGGTCATAATAATAATAGTAAGTAAAGAACCCTTTTCCACGCCTTTAGGGCTAGACCTATATATAAATATAGTATAGACCAATCGGCACAAGATGGGTGATGTGGTCAGCATCACACCGACCGCTTTTACCTCCCAGGACTGCACCTGGTACCCACTCAAGGCCGGGTCTACCTGGGAGCGAAGGTAATTTAAAAAAAAAAGTCCCGCTTCACCAGGGAGCGAACCCATGACCTTACGACTACAGGCGAGCGTCTAGCCGTTACGAAGAATATTGTTAATTAAAAAATATCAGATACAATAAAAGTAAGAGTAATCATATTATTTAGATGATTACCAGTTAATTTCAGTAACTTCCAGAGAACTGTGTTGGACCGAATGATGGTGAGAAAATTAACGAGGAGAAAATGTGAGGTTAAAAATAAAAAGTTAAAGAGTCCAGAGACTGAATTTTATTGCACCGGGTTTTATCCCAAAGACGCGCTGCGGCAATAAGGCACAGAACACGAACACTGTGGCTCCAACGAGATTCATAGGGGTCTCTTTAAAGAAAAAATTGTACTTGTAAAACAACGCAGCTGTGAAACGAACCAAAGACATTCACAGAGCGAGGCAGACGGCTTAGCCACGAAGACTCTTGTAAGGTGTTAACATTTTAAATCCCAACGGCATTATCTGTCACGCCTCGGGCACCGAAGGTCGTTGGCTCGTTTCATATGTGTGTTGTTTAGTTTACAAGTACAGTTTTTACAGAGATCCATTGGGATAATCGCAGGAACTACGGAGTTCATGCTTTGTGCGACAGTCTTATCAGGCGGTTACCCATTCTGGAGAGTGAGGGAGGGGGATGGGGAAGAGTGA